TTGTACAGATGTGTCCAAAGTAACAGGAACAAAAGCTTTCCTGAAGAGAGATGTTCATATACTGGAGAGGAACACTTTCTTCTTATGAGGCTTGTGCTGGTTTTTATCACCAGTTGATAGCCTACTTAATAATGTGGACTAATTATTATGTCAGCTAGCTTATTTGGTGAGGATGTGAGATTCCTCTCTCCTGTAGAACAGATGTCTCCATCCCTCTGTCTGCTGGCAGGGGTCCCTTGTGTTTGGAAATACTGGGGTATCCTTAGACAGGGCAGAGTAGGAGCCACTTGGGTAACAGTGCAGCAGAGCACTTAACGCTATGAGTACAAAGTCATGCACGTATTTCCTGCCTGCTCTTTTCCAGTTTTTCATTTCTGCTTCATGCTCCTTTTAACTTAGGCCTGGACAATCAGGGGACGTTCAGCTGCGCAGGCTCAGGGTTATGCACTGCGTGGCAGAGCGGGCCAGGGCCAAGGAGAATTAATTCGGGGCTGGGGGTGGCTTGTGTGCATACGTCCTTAGAACGGGCTTTGCTTTTAGATGATTGACAATTTCCCAAAACAGGAGGTAGCACGGGTGTCTCTGCCTTGGCCCGTAAGGTGTTTTCCAGGCCATTAATGCTGGGCTGCTTGCACTTGCTTAGTGTCCCTCAGTCAAACTGACTTGCCAGAATGGGCTACCTCACGTCCGTGGGGCGGTTTGCCACCAGTGGCAGCTCTCCTGACTGCAGTAGTAGGTCGGTACGTGATATGGTACCTGAAGCCGTTACAGTTGCAGGTTGTAAATGTAAAATGTAAACTTTTCTCGGCTTAAGTTGCACCCAGTGCATGTGGGTACAGGGCTCCTGCTGCATAACCTCTTGTCAGGAGATAAAAATTCTCAGCTCTAGTCAAAGCCTGTGCGTGCTGACTCATGAAGAGGTCTGTCCTTTCTCCTGAAGCTCAATGTCATCTCAGCTCCTTTCTGGTATGCTTCTGCTAGTGAGCCAGCCCAGAGGCTGCTTGCTGCTGGTACCTACAGCTGGAACCACCTCCTGCTCCTGTCCTCAGATCTATTCGACCTCCATTGAATTTAACCTCTGAAGGTCAGTAATTTCTTTAAACGCTTGTGCAATGCTTGACTCTGACGACATCAGTAGCAGCCACTTTCTTGGGGGTGGTGAAGGACATTCTCAGTGACTGGAAATGCTTCTCCCCCCTTTCTCCTCCTGCCTGCCCTTCACTCTTTCTTTCCCTTCACTTAGCCCGCTTCAGCACCTCATCACCAGGGAAGGGGATTTAAACCAGTTGCAGTTTGCAAAGCTGGGGGGTCAAAATGTCTGCAGGTAAGAGAGGTCTGTGGCAACACTGGTGCAGTAGTAGTGCCACCCAGGGCTGTCCTTGGCAGCAGCCCAACATGAGCTCCTGACATCTCCTCCCCACCTCTTCCAGTGCAGCCCTAGACCCATCAATGCTCCTCTGCGATGCCGTTTAGTGAGGAGCGATAAGCGCAATAGTGCACTGGCAGAATCCTGAGCGGCTCAAGAGGCAGAACGCTCTTGAAAGTGCCCTCGTGAATAATATTCATGCATATTAAAGCAATGGCCATAAGTACTATGCATCATCTCAAGAGATGGAAAAGGCAGTCGCTAAATACGAGAACCGAACTCAGATAAAAATCATGATGTTTAAGCCACTGTAATAAACCTGTCAATCTTCTCAGGCAGTGAGAAGAAAATCCCTATTAAACAAGCCAGTGACAGGGAGAGTCGGTTTGCTGAACGGGCAGACTGACCCATCCTTTGGGCTGTGGTATGAGAGTACAGTAAATCCCTGCCGATATCCATAGGGTGCTGTGGAAGTGCTGGGACAGGTCTTCCTGGGCTGGCTTCCAGCAGCTAAGCAAACCTGAGCAGCAAGGGGCAGAAACACTAATCCAGTCATGGGGAGAAGAGGCACACTGTACCGGGATTTGTAATGAACAAACAGGTTCTGAAAAGACCAGAAAAGTTTTGACTATAGACCTTTAAAAAAAGGTGTTATAACATTTAAAAGAAAGACAAAACTGAAAAAGTGTCTCTTTTGCTCTTCCCTTACCATCCTCGATTTTATTAATTATTTTGAAAGAAGTGCTGCAACATTAGTAATCTTCCATGAATTCAATAGCAATTTTATGATTTTATAGGAAGCATAGTTGCTGTGACTGTGGAAATTCAACAGTTTGAGTAAACTTGCTCCACTGACATCTCCCTCTTATTTTTTTCTTGACCTCTTTTGATCAACAAAACAACGTTTTGCTTTGTTCTGTTTTCCTCTTATTCTTGAGCAACTCTAAGTTGTTCACATCTTCCCAAAATTTCTGGTTGAATATAGGTTTCACAATAGAATCATTCTAGACTTTTTTCTTTCTTCCTTGAAAGAACTTTAATGTATCTGTTTGAGTTTCTCCTGCCATCTGGTATTCTGCATTGAGATCCATGCTGTTCACTCCTCACTGGTATTTTCTTTTTTGCATGTGTTCAGTAAGACTCCTAAGCTGTGTCAGAAATCTACAGAAAACACATTTGTGGTGGCTCTGAATTCCTTCATCTTGGGCTTTCTGTGATTTTGTGCTGGCTTGAAGATGCTTCTGCTGAAGAGCAAACAACCGAAAATGCACTTTCCCCTAGCTGGCTCATGGCACTACATTCCCACTCTCCTCCTTTTCTGCCACACAGAACAACCTGGTTTAGGACACAAAACCCACCACATGAGTAAAATTGGATGGAGAGGTTTAATGTTTGTCTTCATGAAACAGTCAGTGATTATTCTCAGAAACTTCACATTTGCTGAAGCAGAGTTTGTACTACAGAACTAGAATATCGCCTCAACTTCAATAATTTATGTGAAATAATAGTAAAATCTTTCTTTTTCTCCTGAATTCATGCTCACAGTGGTGCAAGAGAGAAGAGTGCATGTATTAAGTGTGGTTTGAATGTAAATATTGAGCATATGTTTGATTATTTTTCCATTCAAAAAAGGGCTTAGACTTCACTCAGGAGTACTGCAGTAATTGTATTTCAGGGCAGAGTTTGTCTGTTTTCTCTAGACGTGAACCCTTCGACTAGCAGGATGTGTATTTTGACGTTTTGTTGCAATGTGGTGTTGTAATAGGATTCCTCCTTCTCCAGGGAGGCTTTTATATATACGTATGTTTGTATATGTATACACACACATTAAAAATGGGTTTGCTGTGGGGGAATAGGGCACTGAGTCAAAAAAGCTAGGTTTTATATATTTTATTCATAAAAACAGATTTGCAACAATTTATTAAAAATTGATCTCATGCAGTATAAGGTTATACAAGAAATTCTTCATTTACATTTTATTCTGGCAGTTCCAGTCTAGTTTAAAGCATTTGTGCACTAACATCATTGGAAAATGCCATTGGGGCACAGCCTCTTCATAAATTTACAGTACATTTTTGCTGCAGTATAAAAGAACAGAAACATTAAATAGCTATATTCACTTGGTTGGTCTTGTTATCTGCAGTAAAGTAAAAAAAAAATGTTATGGGGGAAACTACAGTATCATTGAGACAAAGAATGTACTGCATGGTTTAAACCTAATAAACATCGCACAGTCAGTATTCACGAAGTTACAGACACACACACACTCACCTCCAATGGTCCGATACTTCTGAATTTTTTTTTCCTGCTAAGTTGGAATAATATTTCTACAGAGATCTTTGTGTATACATTATATACAATATTGTAATTTCCTCTTTTTAAAAATTAACATTCCTTTTAAAATAAACCAGGCCCTGATGATATTAATAAAGCAAGAGAATACTGTCAACACACATTGAGTGACAACGTCAGTGTTTAGTGCTTAAACAGAGTAATGAGTTCTATTTTATCTGTGTTTATACTTACATGTTTTTGTTCTAAAAGCTACAGATATTTCCATAACCTCTCTTACTGTATGTGCCAAGTGAAATATTTTGTGATGCTCCTGATTCTAAGATTCAGATACATACTCATGTTGGTTTTGGCCACTATGAGGTGTGTTTTATTTTTAATGGAGATTTATGCTAGCTTGTCAAAGCTGCGGTTAAGTCCCTCAGCTAACGAACCTCTTCAGCGGTGCTTCAGTCATTGCTGATGTATAAACCTTTGTAGAAACGTCATTCCAAAGGTTTGGTTTGAGGTGCACAGGCGTTGGTCAAAGAAAACTGAGAGCCCAGTGGGTGCTTCGTGTATATTTTTTCCCCTACTCTTAGCAAACGTCCCTGGCAGTGAGATGCCACATTTCCAGTCCCTTGGAAAAAGAAGCTGCCTGTGTATCTCACCTGTGCCTGAGGGTTTGGCTCCAGAGCTGGTCCAGACGATGTGCCACTATCGTCCCTCCTAATTGCTTCGGTTCAGGGGATGGAGCTAAAGTATAAAAAACATCCTTTTTTCACAGTCCTTTTAGGATTCAGGTAAAGTATTCTATTGGTAAATTTGATTTATCCTCTCTATTATCCGCTACAACTGTCACACACGCAGGTACAAAGCAAACACAGTGTATGTTCACATCTATGCGCTCTGCAGGCTTCACCTGCAGCAGCAAAGTGCTGTGCCCTAATCCCCCCTCCCCGCGTCCACTAAATTAATTTTATTGTAATTATGTGTGACGCAGTTCAAACAAACTATGAAAAACAATCCGTCCTGTGACATTAAGACTTTACTACCCATCTGTCCTCAGCTCCTTGAGTTATTTGCCCTAGGACTTTTCCAGACAGTTTTAGTACATTACTGTTGGTGGTGTTTATTCTGAAATAAGTGCAGAAACTTTGCTAAAATGAAGCTGCAGATGGTCAGCAGTCACTACCCTCATCCCTGGAGAAGGGTGAAGTGCTCTGCTTCCAACCAGCAGCTCTCCAGCTGGTGACAACTCGGAGCTGGAGCTTCAGCCTCTGCTTAGGTTTCACGTACAGCTGCAAGTTGGAGGTGACCCTGCCCACAGCACTGCAGAGTCTCAATGGCACCTGAGGAATCATTTCTCACAACCCTCCTTTCCTGTTGAACCATCGCTCCTGGAATGAAAACAAGCAAGACTAACCAGTGCAGAATGTTTCTAGCAATTTAACACAACTCTTGCAAAAATGAGTGTATCTATTTCAATAAATATGGTATAGCTCAACCGTTGTGTTTTCCTCACATGGATACAGTGTGGAATTGCATGTTCTCAGCAGCCACATAAAGCTCAGTGACATTTGAGTGTTGCTTTTTTTTTTATCCCTAGTGTCTTTTTTGCAAGATCCATATTTCCCAGCCTCCTTGCTGTGAGTAGAAATTTGGGAAGAAACGTTTTTCAGTGACTTCTACGTGAAGAAATAAAAACTCCATGAATAAGGCTACAGATCAAACTCCTTGTGTCCTTCTCCTTTGCCTTCCCACACGAGTTCCACGGGCACTCCTGTGATGACGGCCTCAGCGGTAGCTCCTCTGCGGTAAGAGCCAATGTTATATGTTTGTAGCAGAGTTCTAGGTCAGATGTTTAGTCCAGTCATCGAGTACTTAAAAGCAGTTCAGGAAGCACTGATCTCCCGTTCCTACAGCCCCGAAACCATTACTCGGAAGGAGGGCGGCACGTGTCTGTGCCGAGGGCTGGCGCTGGGGCTTACGCAGGGACTGGCACAGCTAGCATCAACTCCTCCTATGGATGGCAAGTAGGCGTGATGGAGAATGGGCAGCTGCAAAGACAGCCGGCGCTGTATGCTGGGAGAGAGACAGAGAGAGAGGAGCGTTAGCCAAGAGGAAAATGTAATATATTACGTGCCTGATATGTTTTGCAGGTTGCTGCAAGGATATTTTCTGCGCCTGCTGCCGTGGTAAGAGAGGGTTAATGCCAAGAGCATTACACTCACTGCTGTTGAGCTCTGCCACCGCAGTGTTATTTCCCTTTGGAGAATTCTTCTGACAGGCTAGACATGATGAGAGAATCTAAGGGTGCGTTCTAAGCAACCCAAAACCTTCTGAAATTCCTAGGCACTTTCAGAGTAACTGTTAGACTGCTGACATAGAAAAAAGTTGTGTGCAATGAGAGCATCTGGCTTAGCAACCCCTCGCCCCTTGCCAAGTGATCTTTTGCATGCAGAGCCCCGGCTAACTGCGTAGACATACACGAATTTTAAGCCATGCACCACTTAGCACAAGGGTGTTAGAATTAAGGGTGGCATTTGTGCAGCTCCAGCTAAGGCAGACACAGGGGCATGGAGGGAGGCAATTCGGATTGACGGCTTTTTCCAAGTAGTTCCTCTTTGCAGTTTAGGTCTGTGCTTTTGAGGCGGTGGATGCTCTCAAGTTCTTGCAGTCAGTGCTGTGGGACTGAGGAGTTGGCACTCTAAAAGCAGCCTAACCTACCACCCACACCAAAATTCAGTATTTAGGAACCCAACATTCTGTATCCAACTTTCCAAGCAGATTGACACAGTAGGGCTTTGTTTTTGTTTTTTTGTTTGTTTTGTTTGTTTTGTTTTGTTTTGTTTGTTTTGTTTGTTTTGTTTTTTGTTTTTTTTAAAGGGATACTAAATCGTGCTCACAGATAGCCTGACTAAGCCCTCTCTGTGGAGAGGCCAGTGCCATGAGACAAGGGCTCTTCTACCCCCATGCTGTGGATATACTGGCACCTTTCATAAAATCAAAATCCAGTTGAGGTTCGTTAGTGCAAGAGATGTTTTCAGTGATTAAGATGTTATTATACCAGGATTGCGTCTGCGTTTGGAGACTTTCACTCTTGAAATACGGAGGGACTCTTTAAAGAAAAGACAGATGTCTAAAGTGACAGAGCTGAGCTGAAGACAGGCTTTGAGATTCCAGAAGAAAAATGTCCATGCAAAGCATTGTATCAGTACAATGGAGTTTAAAATTTATATTTCCCTGTTACCCGATATAATGACTCTGTATAGACAGGCCCTTATAAGAAGTGTATGTTTGAAAGCTTGCCTTTGGACAGCCTTTCTGATTCAAATGACATTTCATTTCTTTTTCACTTTGTGTTAGGAAGTGGAGACAGCTACCAAGGCATCCAGCGCACTGCTCAGGGACCAAGCAGTATAGCTTTCAAATTCAGACAGAAAGAAGTGTGATGCTGCTTCTCTTTAGTTTCTTCCCTACAAACTAAGGCTTGTTTATAGAGAGATGTGGTGAAAATAGTTGTAGTCTGCCTAGCTGGGAGATATTTCTCTTTTTTTCTCCCCCCCACAAACTCCCTTTAAAAGTTTGATGCAACATTAATCTGCAGTGTTGATCATTTTAGTGCTGGCAGTGCATCCCTGGGATTTAACAAAATCCATTCATTGTTATTTTGCTGCTGTGCCCAGCTCTTTCTGGTGGTATCAATGAAGCCATGCCTTGTTCCCAAGGAGTGCAGAGGTGGCACGGCTCGCTGCTTCCATGTGCTGAATCCTTATGAGCCTGACACTGCGGATTGTCATTCTGCTTCTCGTTGCAGGGTCAAATGCAGAATCGCCCGCGCTTATTTTCCCACCAGTGGAAATGCTTACTTTGTTCAACTGTTACAGACTTCTCATTAAAGAGCTTTTTGAAGCTGTTCCAAGGGAATCCAGTTGCATAATCAAGTGAATGGGATTTTTTTTCACCCATTAAAGTGTTAGCCATACCATGGACAAAGCATGTTTATTTGGCTATGCCAATGGTGGCTGCAGTGGGTGGCAAATTTTGTTTTAACTGCACTTAAAGTTTACTTTCACTTGAACACTTGCTTCCTGGAATTGGGGCGGAGGACTGTAGCCTGGAGGCTTGCACACAGTTAAGAGCTTAGGCAAAACTCTTGGGGGAAAAACAAAACAAAATGAGTAACAAAATCCAAACAAAACTCCTATTTCTCCTTAGGTGAAAGTAAATCTTGCACTTTGCCTCACTGTGTGCTTTTTTTCCTCCTCCCATATCACTGCTTTTCCCACTCCTTCTCTGCTGCATGTTGTCAATGCTTTTCAGGACGATGGCATACAATTGGTTTCAAGTTGTCCATACAATATAGATATGGCAAAGCATATGGTCAAGTATGTTGGGGAGGGAGTGGTTAGTATTAGTGGTTTTCTACAGCTGCTGAAGGAGATGGGAACGAAAGGTGTTGCCACACACGGAGCAGGCACTTCTCAGGGTACTGAGTTAGAATAGGGCATGTACCCTCAGCTGTGTACAGAAAAGCCATTTATTAGGGATAAATAAAGTCAAGTAAAAGCTTGCCTTCCAGTGTCAACGCACATAGGAAGATAATGCGATGCACATGGGAATGCACAATGCTACAAAGCGGGCAGAAGCATCTGAAAAATAATTTGGTTCTGCTCTACAAAACCACTGGTGAGATCCACTGGTAAGTGGAGGGACTGGAACAACTGCTGCTACAGTTAAACACCTGAAGATATGCAGGACCATGTAAACTGTGTCTAAGCATTCAGAGATCATTTCAATTGATCCTTCAGCTCATAAATGTTGATTTTTAACAACTGAGCAGCTGGAGAAGTTCTAAAAGACTGTAATAAATCAAGATGTACTAGCAAGTAAACTAACCATTCTAAATCCACCTTTTTTTAACAACAGATTTAAGTAGGATCATAGATAGACTAATATGAACCACTGTCAGTGAAGAAACTGAATAAAGGAGACTTGTTCATGCCAAGGCATATGGCTGTAATGCAATAATCCAGTCGTAACCAACTTTTTTGATGAGTATTTTGGTTACTAAAATTGACATCACTGGCTCTGGCAGGGTATTTGACTGTCTTTTAAGTGCTGCCAAAAGCAGTGCTCTAGCTCAAAAGATATCAAGTTAGTTTCTGTTATAAAGGTTACACAGTGATTAGCTGCTTTGAAGGTTACAAAAACAAGCACATATAGGAAGTAGTGTATCAAAATGGCAGGTTTTGGTGGGGTCCTGCAGAAATCTATCATCACCTTTACTCAGAGATCTGGAAGACTGCTACGTATTGTTGCTGTTAAAATGAGAACAGTATAAATTTTAATGGTGTCAAAAACTAATTCACCGAATGTAGGTCACCGATGAGATGAGACAACATGCAGGAATGAAGCTGCGTAGAAGAATGTCTTTAAGGGTCACGGCAGATTATCCCTTTGAATGTGTTAGTGTGGCCATCATGCAGATAAGCTGACTGGTGCGATCTTTAGATAAATAAGCAGGTAACTATCAGGCTGGAATACAAATAGCGTCCTGATTAATATCTCAGCACACTGCACTGATGAAAGTGATACGGAAGTAGCGCGTCCAGATAAGCTACACCCATCTTCCCCAGCAGGTCACACACCCAAGGATGAGGAAGGAGTTGCCTTTGCATGAGAGACACGCCAGCCTACTGGGAAACGAACTGTTATATCCGTTATAAACTAGTTCAGGCTGCTCTCTGGGCCTGAGATGAACTGGCATGGTGCAGCTTCCACCCATGCCGCTAAGCTCCCCCCAAACAGGGCTTCTGCATACCAGACCGCGCCTGAGCATCACCTGGGGAAGCACAAGCTGATGCAGCTGTGCAAGGGCATATGCTAATAAACACCCTGGAAAATCATAGCGCTGGGCTTGAGCCTGTGCACCAGCACTGCTTTGCCTACAATTGGAAGTGTTAATTCACATGCTGTGTGTACCCAGTGTGAACAGGAGAGAAAGCAGCCAGCTTTCTCTCTGACACTATGAATAACCTACCAGGTCTTACCCATCAGGAAAGGGAGTAAGAGGCAAAGGGAACTTTAAATCATCTACACTCATGCTTTAAGGCTGCTCTGCAGTCCTACAGACTGCATTTTCTTTAGGTGCAGGGTTTTAAATCTGAGCCAAGCACTGAACAAATGTTTTTCACATTCTGATTGAGATGCCATAAACAACACCCCAGAGACAAATGTGAAACAACTTTCCTGATGGGTAGGACCTTGTAGGTTATTCATAGTGTCACATAAAATTTGCCATGCCCAGTCGGACCATCAGACATGACGAGCAAAAAGTGGGTGACGGCTGCCTAAAGTGCAAGCGTACTGCTGTGCCTTCACTTGGGACACAGCTGAAGGATGGGGGATCACACTTGCAGTTAGTAAATGTAGCACCAGTGTAAGAAAGAATGAAAAAATCCCAAATCAAACTCTTTTCTGCTCTCCACAAGAACTTTTGTGCTGGAAGATGTCAGCTCTCTGGAGTGCTGTCAATAACAGGAAGCTGAGGTGCTTCTTTTTGCCATACCCAATGAACAGTTAATATTTCTGCAGGCAAATTATTATCTTAATGTCCTCCTTTCATAGGTTTGTGGCAAAGAGGAAATATTTTTCAGAGTAATGTCCTTGAGATTTCTGTTCTTGAATAAGGAATAGCTTCAGCAGACTATGTGACTACCTCTCTATCAGATGCCCTATGTATGCAACAAAATGAGAAAGAGAAGGCACAAACTACAGCTTGTCTTTAACGTGGTGTTTTTTTGTTTGGGTTTTTTTTGACAAAAATGATACATTTACTAACCATGGAAGGCCAGAAGTGCTACCAGACAAGCTGAAAAAAAGCACATGCATGAGGAAGGATATTCTTAAAAGGCACAAAGTTTGGAAAGAGGCAATCTCTTGAGGGAATCACAAAACCCTAGTCCTGAAGACTGCTACGTTGCTACTCTGTGGAAGGTCCACTGTGCCTGGGCGGTGTGGCTCTGGTACCCAAACTGTCAACGTATCCTCAGGGAAGACATTGACCCTTGGACCTGGCACAGTCGCAGCTGTGCAAGTGCTGAATAATGCTGTTTTGATTTAATAGAGCTTTATTAATTGCTTTCCATAAATGTCAGTGACTGTTCAGATTTGTAGTGACCCGCAGGAAATCTTAGTCTTCTCATCAGTTACCGCTAGCCTAGAGGGGGTTCTCTCATCACCAAATGTTTTTTTTTTCCCCCCTGTATTAAATCTGTATCGGAAGAACTGGATTATCTCAGTGTCTGTGTTTTTCTTAGCATCTCTCTTGATGTAAGAGGGCCACGTGCAGATGGGGCTGCATTCACACTACATTATTTCTGACAAATGGTGCTGGAAAAAGACAGGCCTCTAATAGCTATGCATTAAAGCACTCTGCTGACCCCATAAAGTCATGAGAGCTTTCTCAGCGAGAGCCCTGCTTTTGTGAAATAACCAGATATTTCAGGTACTGGGAGCTTTTTTTGGTGCATATGTGTGCGTGGATTAACCCCTGTGCAGGTTTGGGTTGGGGTTCTTTTTGAGTGCAAGGGCAGACTTAGAAATCCAGGTGTTTTCCTGCACCAGGTAGAACAAGGCAGTAACTGCTATCTGAAATCAGGTTTGCTGTCACTGATGAAACATCTGACTCAGTCTAGTAGTTTGTCTAATTTATTCTGTTTTTAAATAAGCTTTTAAGCTGCCTGTGTACAAAGCAGGAGGCTGACAGCTCTTAGCTCAGATCCTGATGAAGTGGTGCCCGTGTAACTACACTGCCGTGGGGAAACGACAAGCAAGCATGGCACTTCCCCGAGCTCTGCCCCACAGCAGGCCCTGCTGAGCTGGTAGAGGGTACATGAGTGTATTGTATAGGTTCCTGGGGAGAAAAGATGATACTATAAGAATCTTTCCCCTCCATGAATCTCACAAGTGCTTTGTGCCATCCTCTCCTTGTAGCCACAGCATTGTTTCTAAGGGAAACTACTTGGTGCAGGCTTTCCTATGCCAAAACTTGGGTCCAGCTGCTATGGTAACGTTGAAAAGCCCTAAGATTTTTTATTTCTCATCTGGCTTAAGACTGAAAGAGAACAAAATGGCTGTGTACACCATGAACCCCTCTGGCCATTGTGTGGAAGGACTTGGACTGTTGACAACAGTCATAACATGAGGGTGCACATATGTACATCCTCTTCTCTCCTTAATGTACATTGGTGGTTGGGCACAGCTTGTCCTGTAACTCTCCACAGAAACTTGAAACATCATGTTATGGATGTTTCTGACAAGACAAAAGAAGTATGTTAATTTGTCTTTGGGGCACCTTAGAATCTAGTGCCCCTGATATACTCTAAATCTGGTGGGGATGGTGAGCTGGTGGGAGAGAGGCATCACAGTACAACGTTGTTGCCCACTTGTGCTTCAGGAGGTGCCATTCACATCTTCTGTCACTGATGGTCCAGGCTCTCTCTGTAGCTGGGGCAGGCTGAAAGGGTTTACAGTGAAGGTCTTCCCATAAAAATGCATGAAAGAGAAATATAGGTTTTGTGAAATGTAATCATGTAAATTAATGTTTGATCAGCAAGGCAGCTGGCGTCCAGTATGGAATTTATAGCTAAAACAGTAGAAAGAGAGTGTGCGCAAGCCCATGCATACCTGAGAGAGCAGGAGTGCCTCCACCTCCGCCGGTATGTAATGGTGTATACTTACTGTTCTGGAGAGTTGATGTCTTCTATAGGATCTTTGCTTGTCCTGGAAGGGTCTGATGAGCCCCATTGTGCTGGTGGATTTTGATCAAGATGATTTTTCAAAATGGCTTTCTCACCATCTGGGTGGACAACACATTCAATTTTACTTTACTGTCACCAAGTGACCATTTTAAAATTGTTTAATTTAAAATTTCCCTGATGTTCTTAAAGCCACAAAGTCAAGTCTTCCTGCCTATATTCCAATACACTCTCAGGCTTCTCTGTGAGTCTTTGGTACTCTTATGTTTTTGGTGACGTCCTCCTTCACAGGAACTACCATGAAGAAACAGAAGAGGGACAAAACCTCTTTTGACCTTCCTTTGTTTTCCCTCACACCTTTAAAGAAAAACACAAACTTTGTTTTGAACCTTGTTGCCGACCTCTGTGTAGCCCTGTCATGCTCTCTCACCCAGTCTTAGGCTGTGTAAAAGGTTAATGTAACTGCACCATCATATTATCTTGCACTCAAAAACTGTTACCGTTTCTTAAGAAAAAAACCCTCTTATTTAAGTCTATTCCTAGGAAAACTATAATCTCATTGATGTATAAAACCTTGGTACTCTTGCAATCACACAAGCAATTAAATGCTGTCATTTAACTATCTACCTGCTATCATTTAGCACGGAAATACGATTCATATCAGTTGCCCTGGTCCGTAGGCTGTCTGCAGGAAGGACAGCTAATGATCTCATTCCTCCTGCCGGTCTCTTCTCTGCATAGTGATAGTGCGGAAGATCATAATTTTCTCTGTAGGTAGCTTCGCTTGATTCCCCCGGGAGCCCTGGGAGTCCCTGGCTAGCCGAGCTGAAGCCTGTGGCATCCGTCCCCCTGAGAAACGTGGACGAACGCAGCCATTTTAGGGTGGCTGCCTTTGCCAGGGATCCTTTCTGTTCCTGCCTGTTTCTCCAAAGTCTCCTGCTGTGTTAAGCCAAATAAAGTCACATGGAAAACATCTGAGTAATGAGGACAGCACACAGTTTTCATAAATAATTACAGAGCAGCTTCAAATTCATCACCAGCAGTTGTTTGCCACGCACACAGAGAAGCAAGGATTGCTGCAGGCATTAAGGCAGCATGGAAGAGGACTCGATGGTAAAAACTAGAAAAGGACACTGGAGGATTTGAATGTAAAAATGGGTATGAGGGGAAAAAGCAGGAAAATATTGAAGAGAAAATGAAAATAGCATGGAAAAACCCAGTGTATATTGAAGGTTTAAGCTGCTTTTCTGTTCTACGAATGCTCAGAAGCCCCAGATAATGCTCAGGAGTATCTACCTTCTCAACGAGCACTGGTGGGACAAAACAAGCAGCAGAAACAAAGAGTGAGGAAAGAAGCTGGAAGCAGAGACAGGAGTGTTTTGAGGGCAAACTCCAACATGTATAACTGCCCTCCCAGCGCGGTCAGCACTGGCATTATTTTGTGGCATTCACTTTCTGCTATGAAAAATCTAACAGGCAACTTGGAAAGAAATGAATAGGTCAGGATGCAAAAATGTGCAGACACGGGGATTGCTACAGCTCAGGAGAGCAGGAGAGATTTTTCACTTATGTTGCACGGAAGAGAAGGTCTGGGTGAGAAAGGAGGTGACCAGAACACATGAAGTTGCTTCTTTCGATGCAAGAAAATGTCAGTTTAAAAAAAAAAAGAGAGCTAAGGAATTAAATTGTAGCAAGAAGGGTGCTTAAAAAAAGAGATATGGCAGGATTCAGTGATGGTTTAGATGTGAAGCGAGGACAGCAAAGAGTCAAATCTGACAATGGCTGAGATAATCTCAAGTTTGACCTGAAGTTTGCTGGTGTGGCATTTGCTGTCACAAGAGTTCAGTTTTTATTTTCCTTACATTGCATTTCTATGTGTATTGAGCTTGAAATCTGCATAAAAGCCTTGTGATTTCTATGAACAGACATGTAGGAAAGAACACTTTTTTACTTCCATGATTAAAAACAACGTTCAATCCTGAGCTGATCTAAGCTGGCAATGAAAACTGCTGACTTTATGATACAGACCAAAGTTAAATTTTGAGTAACCATTGTAATTAAGGTTGGGAAAGGTCTATTATTTAACTATTTTAGGGTCCCGACTCCTTTGGCCAAGATAAGCAATTAACTTTTACAAAGCCACTGAAGATACAATTCTTCATCAAATGACTGGAATATGCAGCTGTCAGGTTTCGGGAGTATGTGATTTCGTGTATTAATCTGCACTCTATGCCCCTAAAGGGGTTTCTGGTGCTTTCAGTTGTGCTGCGAGAGAGGGGGGGAGAGAGAGAGAGAGAAGGAGGTGGTCCCTGTCAAAAAGGTGGAGGATTTACTTTAAAGTAGAGCAAAGTCTCATATTTTCTGCCTACTCACCCTTCAACACCAACTGCCCATATATCGCTGTGTTATTCTTAATAGACCCTTTTCTGTCACTCTTGCAGACGACTCTCCCTTAATACACTGCATGAATTTCTGTATACAAGGTTACCACATGCAAGTTTTAATGCATCCGTATAAAATACAGACAAAATCCACATAAAGCTACCACGATGTTGAGATTCTTTTTCTTCTTCCTTTGCTTCTTTCAAAATACACAAAAGTTGGATAATTCTTATTTGTTAAGCTTTTTGGGAGAGGATTTGTTAGAGTTTTATTCTGCAGCTATGGAAACTAGAATATCTTGCTTTTATCTTTCCCCCCCCCCTCCATTTACCTTTCATTTAAATAATGAAGAGCAACATTCTCAGTTAGTCACACGCTTCCTGGAGCTGGAGCTTAAAGAAAAATCACTCTCACCATATGCACTTAAAAAAATTTAAGAATGGAGGAAATGGATTTTATATACATCAACAACTGAAAGAAAATAAATTAAGGGTAACGGTAAACATCTGAGTTCCAGGTTTCCCCTGGAAATTGTAGCACTGCTTTTAGTACTTCCTCATCTTTCCTTCCTCTGTCCATTAAGTGTGCCACTTGAAAAATGACCTTCATTCTCAGAGTACTGTCTATCACTGAAGATGCTACTGAGTAAGTTGCACTGGGATGGTCTAACTACCTTCAAAATGGAATTTACATTGGCCAGAAGCACTTTCTAAGTAATTTTCACCTTCGCAGACCTCAAACCGGAACTCAGAAGTCTGGATAAGTGATGCCTGAGCACTTTCCGTTCAGAAAACTGTTGGGGAAAAAAGCCAAACAGATCTCAAGAGCCTCACACGGCACTCCCTGATGCCTTCACTAGAAGACCAAACCCGCTGCCCGGTCATCAGGGAGAGCCAGAAGGCTCTAGCTCAGGACCTTCGCCTACCTGTGGCAGAGAAACGACTTCCATTGACAAGGCTCTGAGCTGCCGGAGCACACCCGACGCCGGCTGCGGAGGGGCTCAGCGAGGCGGTCACTGCTCCCAGCCCCTCGCCTCTCCCGCTGCCGGGGCTGACGCGCGCTTCCGACCTGCCGTACCTATAATCGCTGCGCGAGCTGCTGCTGTCAAAGTTACCCGGGCTGGCTCAGCCGCGCCGAGCTTTCTAACGACTGCTGCTCAGCTGCAGGCAAGAAAACGCCAGGCGCCTGCCGCTGCTGGAGTTCCTTCCGAGATTTTAGAAACTCTATTTCTCTAGCTAGGAGGTTGCTTTGTTGACGTTTGTATGCTGCAGCTTTATCGAACGTCTTCATCGTTACGCTTTAGGGTCGTTATTCCTCCAATGGCTCACAACTAGATGGCAGAACCGCTGTTCACCCCACATCTTTCAATTCCACTGCTGTTTTCTCTTTGCTAGAAAGCATATTTTATGCTTCACAAAGAAGTAAGTGTGGTTTAATAATGACTTATAAAAGCTGGCAGAGATAACCTTGCTGATTTACTAAAGAACCCTGCGTACTTTAACGCTAAAGGTAGATTTTTAAAATCTACTGTAATTTTTCACACTTATGTGGGTTGGACTGTGAAACAAGACTAGCCAGTTTCTGATTTTTATGTGAACAGGATGAAGAGAAAGTAAAACAAAAGGAAAAATTAAAATGATCACATAATCTGCTGGGTAGATCAGAACAAGTTCTCCTGAACTTAGCTCACAGCACCAGGCAGTCTAAAACATGACTGATGTTATATTTTGAAAAGGAGATTACTTTTTTTAACAGAAAAGCCTTGATTCTTCTCTGATTTATACTACTTTAAATCAGAAGAAACTCCCTTTACTAGAGATTTACTTCTGTGCAAGGAAGGGCAGGCACTGAACCTCTGATAGTTTGGTCTCCCTGTTGAAATAGAAACAAGCTCCAATTTCAGGATTGGAATCCATGTGCTGGGCTTCCTAGAACCTAGTATACATATCTCTGTGTATCTCTATAGACAAAGGATATAACGAACTATATCCTTTCTTTAAAAGAACATTCCTTTAAAGTCTCGTACACCTACTTCTGGAAGCCTTTCTTTTGGATCTGTGATTCCAATCTCAACCTTAATGCTTAAATCACACTAACTTCACCAAAGCAGTGTTTCCCCCCCTCTATAACAGATCAACTCTGTTTTGCTTCACATTTGTGAGCAACATGACTTTGAAACCTGTTTTCTTTGAGCTGCTTTTACATGGGGAAAAACCAACACTGGGAAACCTTGGAGTGGGGTGACAACTGACAGGATGTAGGCATAGCTGACACGCAAATTAATGCTCCCAGTCCATTTACAGCAATGAGTAAAGACTATTTTTTGGCTCAAAACAGAAAAGGCTTTCTGAGCAAGCAGGGTGCTTGCAGAGACAGAACTTGCAAAAAGGGGTTTGCTAATAAGTGGGGGCTATTGTAAGGCTGTCTCTTGCTTCTTATGTGGTTTCTGTAGTATGGCTGTCATTCATTAATTTCCCTAACACGCCGCTCTGAAATGTACTGGCAAAGGTAGAAATAAATGGAGATTCTTGCAATCTATGAATCATTCATGTAGAAATAATTTCATGTAATAAAATGTCAAGTAGAAGTCAAATAGAGTAAGATAGTAAGATTCCAAGCATAGCAAAATTATCCAGCCCCCCAAATCACTATCTTCCCTCTGTATTTTTCTCCTCAGTAACTTTTATCTCTGCAGGAACTTGCACAGTAGAAATAAGCTCTACCTTCATGAAGTCGCTCCTGTTTCTGGCACACCGACTACATGGGTGCAGGGAGCCCTTTTGGGAAGCTCTGGTTTGTGCCTGTGCCAGGGTGTTACTTCCCTGGAGCTGTGCGGCACAGTCTGCCTCTTTGCACAACATCACAGTTACAGGCACTTATCCTCCTTTTTCCAAATGTCAGCTTGGAAAACTCAGCCGTGTCTCCAAGCTTGGCTCTCTTTGCGGAACGGCACTGCAGGAACTGCCCGCGCCAAGCGTGGGTCTCACCCGCAGCCCGTCCCTGCCTCAAACGTGGCACTTTGGGACATGGTTTAGGGGGCATGGTGGTGTTGGGATGATGGTTGGACTTGATGATCTTAAAGGTCTTTTCCAACCTTAATGATTCTGTGATTCTGTGATTCTATAAACCCGGGCTGCAATGCAGCTCTGCTTCTCCAGCAAGGTGACCAGATCCTGCAAACAGCAAGCTGGGGGAGAAGTTAACGCTGCGCGGAGCGCAGAGCCGAGGTCGCTAGCAGACACAGTGACTCAAAATCATCTGAGGAATGTGTCAAATGAAGTTAAGGGGATGCCCTTTTAAATTCAACTGGAGAAGCCATTTGAGGTTCCAGAGCTGGGATCCGTGGGGCGTGTTGAGGACTGCTTGACCACCCAAAGCGATCTAGCAGTGCGGACAAAAGCCTGCATTAAAAAAAAGCAATCAGACCATAAGCTACAAACCACATTTCCTAATTGCTTGTCTTACATAACCCATTGCGGTAGATGTGAACAGGAGATGAATGTCTCGGATAATATCTCTTTCAGTGAGATGTACTGAACTGAAATGTGCTGTAAAGGAGTCCCTGTGCCAGCAAAGGGCTCCTGGGCTACACCAGGACCTGTTGCTGTTAATAACTAACCAGGAACTCCAAAGTTATGAAGCTTTGCCTGAGGTCAGGCAGTTATGGGAGTGCAGAGATGTGTCTCTCTATTTTGACTAAAGTAATTTAACTTTTGTATCCTAAATCCATATTTGACGTAAATGGGAGTGGCGGGGAAGGAAGAGAAGAATTAAATAACCTCCTTTGGCACTTGGATATAGGAGTTAGGAATTTTAACTCTGGACAATCTTTACAGATCAAGATCCTACTGATGTGTACCATGACATTAAAGTTTGATTAGGACTTGTTCAAGAGGCAGTGTGTAAGTCCTGTGTTACTATCTGTTCTCTGAAGTGCAGTGCCCTAAATTTGTGTAAGCAATAGCAGTGGGGACACACTACATTGCATTCTTTATGTGAACTCCTTCAGAACAGCAAGGTATTTGAGAAAGAAGATTGACATAGGATTCAGCCATGTCCACAATGCAAATGTGGCAAATGATCTGCTATCATTTTTAGCTCCAAGTTAGCTGCTATTTTTAGCATCTTTCTTCACTGTCCTACTCCCTCTCAGCTCACATTTTTTACAAGGTCCAAGGTAGGCACAAACCTTGTCATCACCTTAAAAACAACATCAGGCTGGCTTCCCCAGTTGCATGGTAGAGGTGAGAGACATGGTCACTTCTCGGTCATGCTATTAAATTATTTACAATTCCAAAGCTTTGCTCAAGTACCATCAGAGATGCATAATTTCAAGGTTCTGCACTTTCATTTACAGAGAGTTACATGAAAAACACAGCTATAGAAAGCATAATCACGTCACTCAGAGTTAGCTTTCCTGTAGCCGTAAGGGCCAGAATTTTTTAAAGTACATTTAAGTGATGTTTCTTTGCATCTGCACAGAAGCAGCAGCGACTCGGCAACACGAATTCTCCAAAGCCTTGTTACTTTGACTGGAATGGCAAATTTATATTAAGAACATATGTTGACTATTGGGAATGAATGCAGTGAGAGAAATACAGAGGAGATTCAGACATGTAGCTAAGGGAGAAGGAAACTGGGAAAGAGAGCAAATGAGGCAGAAGAAGTGGAAATGGAGGGACAGAAAAAGGCTAGCAAGGGTTGTTGAACATGGTGTCTTAGAGCCTGGAAGTATGAATATGTGGTGTCACTTGGGTAGGGATCAGGATACTCCATAATACTCATGCATTCACCACCAGGGGTGGGACCAAGCTTCAAACACCTGCTGCAAATTGGGATCCAGGTCTTCCTCATTCCCAGGTGAAAGGATGCTCCAACCTATTCAATATAAAGATGGCCAAGGGAAAATATCCTTCTTTTCCTTCCTCCATCTTTTGTGTGGAGCTTTATGTGGTAGGTCTGTTCAGAAAACTGTGTCCTGCAACTTCAGTATGCAGGAGAATATCTACCCTGTAAACCCCAATAGTATATAGTTCCAACCTACTCAGTATATTAAGGCTCAGTATGTTCAAGTGATTTTAAATATGTATCCCACAGCAGAAATGTAGAAGTTAGGGAACTGTACTGGGGGAAACTTAGGAACACAGACAATCTTGGATGCTGGTAGGTAAAGCAGCAGTTAGGTATCGATATCTTTTGTAGACATAGCCACAAGTAAGTGCAGAAAGGTTATATTTTCCCCTTGATTTCTGTGCCAGCATCCTGCTGCTAATGGAGTGCAACCTGCTGTGGGAAGCATCCCTTCCTAAATTTATACCCAGTGTTTCTCTTGAGGATCATTTTTATTTTTCATACCAAACTCAGATGGGTATTTGACACAATGTAATGTATCTTTTCTGCTTGAAATATTATTCATGATTTATCATTTTCCTGCAGCATCTGACATGAGTGGAACATTCTATGTGTTCCTTTCAAACACTTGGTAAAACTGCCTCATCCCACTCACTGATGTTAGCTCTTGCTGCTGATCTCAGCCCAATAATCACACGCCTCCAGCAGCTATTTACATTTTCCTTTTCCTCCTTTCCCCCTCCTGGTTTTTAATTTTAAAAAGGACACTGGGAACTCTATGGAGCTCTTCCTTTTCTTTTTTGCCACAAGTTACACAACGGAGCGCATACCCAGGGTGAAACAAAAGACACGTGAAAAAGTAAGCTTATCCAATCAAAATTCAATACACTTCAAAGGCCTGTGTAAACGGTTGCTGTTGTTCTAAAATCATTTTTCAACAACCGTATTTACAAGAGTGGCTTCTGTTCCACTTAACCAAGCTTGTGCTGCCACATCAATAGGAAGTGTGAGCCTCGCATTGCAACAGATGTGCAAATCTACGACTTCCCAACACAGGGCAACTAGTTTTTCACGTACTGTAGTAATATTCAGCTGCATAAAGTCATTTGCAAAAAGTCACAAAGTACATCCATTCTAGAGTCAGAAATGGAAGCTGGGTGCCCTGGCTTCTACTTTATTGCACTATGCACCAGATCTTATTGCTTCCCCAAAGTGAAATAGCTTTAATGGAGGCAATTCTTTCGCATATATTTCTTCAGGGAGCGATGCAAGAGACACAGTAGAAACAACTTAGGAATATTACAGTCATCATGAAATCCTTTTTTATCAGTTCCTAGGGAAGAATTTTCATACACAAGTGCCTTCAATTCTACATTTAGAGTCCAAATCAGCACTGAAATATTTACATGCTTCTCTTCTATGTGCTTGATAGCAGTGTCCAAAAGCAGGATTTGAACATCCTGCTTAGACGAGCACATATAAAACTGGGCTTCCTGCTGCTGAAGGCTGGTGCAATTAACTCTCGCAAGATCTGAAACACACTGTGACTTTCCTCCCGCCATGCGGCACAGAAAACTTGACTTCTGAACCCAAGTATGCTTTTAAAAGTCTCCCACTTTACCATGTGTGTTATACACATAGGACGTAGAATAAAAGACATACGTATAGAGGAAAAACTACTCAGTGGGTACCATATAGCTTATGTGAATCTGCATGCTTTCTGCAATGCAACCAAAATATTTAAAGTTCTGTTTTACCAAAGTCCGAGCGCTCTGGAACCAATCCAATGAGATTGCTATTCAAAATCTTGGTGGGTTAAGCTACTAATGGATTTTACTAACTCTCACCTTTGCTGTCTGTAAAGTTCCGTATACTAAGAATGTCATTAAGATCCTGATAGTGGTTCTGCTTAATGTATGTTGTTTTCTCAGGAGTGTCCTGAAGCTGCATCGTGACCTCTTCCAAGTCTTTGTCCAGCTGCAAAACAGGAAGAGTATGAGTCCCTAAAAGTTCAAGAGTCATTGCTTCAGGTATCGGCAGTAACCGCGTAGCTTTCTGTGAGCAGACTAGAAGGCAGGCGGTAACGCCCTTGCCACGCTCTGCCAAACGCAGTTTTCTTACAGCACCGCAGCGCTGCCTCTAGAAATCACGCTACAAGCAACAAACCACTTTCAGCTGTGGTATTGCACACAGGGCGTACGAGAAGAATAAAGCTTTAGTAGTTGACAGTTAAGCAATGCTGATGTACCTCTGAATGAGAAAGGAAGGGGCATTAGAAAGCCCAGTCTGAAAACCTCTCAACTGTTTATTATTTATGTGTATAAACGTGGCATACATAGCCATAACCACTTTGTTGTGTCAATCAAATTATCAAACGTGCAAGAAAATAGAAGTGAACTATGGCATCGGGGGCATGTCCAGCCATGTGAGTGACTGCAGTCAACTGTACTGGGAATGTTTTGTTTTCCTAAAGAGTATTTTTACTCCTTTTACCTTTCTTCGAGAGACAGACTCCTGTCAGACTTTTTGTTTGTGTGTGTGTCGTGAAATTTCAAAGAAAATCCTACTCATAGGTTTTAGTTTTGGGGCTGAGAACACTCCGTGTTTTTGTGATTTGAAAATTACCCCCATGTTTTATATCTTTTCTGTCTTAAACTGTGTAATCTCGCAGCTAGCACTAAATTGCCATTCCAAGAGGGAAAAAATGGAAACAAGAGGAGGGAGAAGAAACGAAAATCACAGTCTTCTCTCTGCCCCAAAAGCATCCTTTAAGACTAGAGGGAGAGAAGCACAGGTGTTTTCTGACTGGAAGAGCCACAGCACAAATGCCGGGCTGGTACAGCCCCAGCTTTTAGCCCCGAGTTGAACACAGGGTGCTCTCCCCGGTGGCTAACTTGTATTCAGTTGGCTACAGCCCCAGCAGAAAACGACCAGATACAAGTGTCTTAATGATGATCTGGCATGCTCTCTGTGAACAGTTGTCCAGGATGTGGTGTCCAGAGTATGTCCTACTCACTACTGGCTTAACTGAATTTTAAGTGTGCTGAATTTAGATTTAGTTTTCTGAAAGAACCGGGACATAGCAACTCAAGGTAGATAACAGAGATGTAGCTGCTAGCTAAGGTAGGGCATGCTCCAAATCCCCTTGACAACAAAACTCTTGTTTGGACCTACTGGTTCTGAGTATTTAATTTAACATATTTAAGCCAAGTCTAAAAAGATCAGCAGGGCCCTGCGTGCACTAATATGGCTCAGTTGCCCTGACTAGCCTCTCCTGTGATCTCCGTCATGAGCCTTGCAAGGCACAGGCTGAGATCTTATGAGTTAGGAGGCTTAGTAGAAAAAACTACAGTAGGATGAAGAAATTGGAATAGCCAGTAGCCAGCTGAGCCTTCATCAAAAATTGCAAGGCTCTCACATGAAAGAGACCTGGCAAAGCTGAACTAAATTTCTTTAACAAGGCAGAGATAACTTTTGCTTTTGGAGTCCTTGGTAGTCTGAATTGTCATTAGTTAAGATCTGGATGAAGATGTAATGTTTGCAATAAAATACTTTTTCTTCAAGGTATAAGAATACTTCACAGACTAGGCAAGAGCAGGTTAATTTTTTTGTAAGATATGGATCAGTTATGGTTATCTTGTCTTACAAAATGGACAGTCTTCAAGGCTGATTTTTCATCATTTGAGGTCTCCTGAGCAAGGATGGACATAATTAAAAATATACATGTTATAGCTCTAATGGAATTCATGCACTCCACGTACTTAGCCTTTCTCCTGGTAGAGACTGAAGAAAATTCACAGGCTTTGTGCCGAAAGGGTCCGCTGATGTGATTGTAAAGGTCTTTTCTACCTTAAGAAATTCTGTTTCATGGCAGATGTAAAAATTTGTCTATCAAGTTTTTGAGTGAACTCTCAGAGAGGTTGAGAAATAACAGCAACAGCAGTCTCTGAACTCAGCTGTAAATAGGAACAAAGATAGCTCTTAAGTGCCCCGGGGCTGTGGGTCTCTGCTATGCTTGCATGTAAAGCTTGCGCTTCTAGAGCTGTTGCTCTGTGGTGCTCAGCACGTCCACGTGAAGCAGCGGGGTAATTTGCCTGTTACAAATGAATAGGGGAAGTTGCATTTTAATTTGCTAAGGTACATTTTCATTTTATCACACCTGCTAAGTATTTGCTGTATTAAATAGCTATTCATATAAATCATCTGTTTCCTATTATTTCAAAATTTTTCTATGGGGAAAGCTAATTTTTTTCCTCTAAAAAGTAGTCAACATTTAAGCAAGTCACAGAATTGCAACAACAACAACAAAATTGCCTAGGCAGTGTATACAATAAACAATACCTCTGTAATTTTCATTCTCAAGCGGTGGTTCTCTGACTGCAATCCTTCTAGTCGAGATGTGCTGGCCTGATTGACGCTGGTGACTGATGTTGATGTCTTTGAATCTTCTTTCTTTTGATTTTGAGTGAACTGAAATCGTCTGTTCTGTGTGGCTGCATCTGGATTTGTCCTCAGTGTGATGAGCTGAAAGGTTCAAAAGCCTTTTTGAAATCCTGTGCATGGTTTTATTTTTGCAGCTTTTTCTTTTGTATCTCAAAATATTGAAAGACAAACCAAGAGTTCCTTTCTGACTTTCAAGTATAAAATTCTGGAAAGTGAGCCCTGCTTGCCATCTGCAATACTTGAGAGGATTTCTGAATAACTTTACAGAATCGGTTGAACCAGAATGATTTTGCAAAGGGAAGTGTTCAAAAAAATTAGGAAAAACTTAACTGGTTTTTAATTACGTTAAAATATACTTTAATATTTAATCAAACCTATTGTTCTCCTTCATTAATATCTTTATACTTTCAATATATATATTCCTTCTTTAAGAAAAAAACAACCCACCAAGCCCTTCTCTTCCCAAGAACAGTTTCATCTGAAATTTCTCCTTTCCTACCGTTACAGGTAACACTCAAGCAGAGAGAGGCATGAAGCGGGAATATTAACAGAAAGAACTCAGGGGATATTGCACTCTGGAGATAACAGAAACTTAATTATATTTTAGTGACCCAAAATAAACCAAATCTGTTCAAATAAATTAAATAAGCCACTTATTTAAAAAAAGGTTAACCTTAAACACATTTAATTTAAGCAAATCTAAGTAAGATTTAACACTCGGTGACAACATGAAAATATCACCTCGACATGAGGAGAGAAAGCTAGCTGTTTGGCAAGGGGGAGAGAGTTTCTCAGATTACTCTAGAGAATACAGAATTTATGATTACTCGCCAAGCAGCATACATATATATTTGTATACAGACAAAGCTGAAGGAGCTGCCTGCCCTGAGACCATAGGCATGGCATCATAAACCCAAAGGTGTTGAGTTGTCTGAAAAGAGAGAAGTGGCAATAATCTTGTAAGCACAGCACAGACAGATCTTGTGGTATAGCCCCATTTTGGAATGGGTTCCTCTTGTTCTTCAGAGCGTGAAAGTGTTCCGCAGCTGTGGTGGCATGAAAGAGGAATGTAACTTCTGGTAGAGAGAGTTCTGACTGATCAGGCAATGAAGCACTTGGTCCCTGGCATATATTTGCATGTCTACAGATCGGGATGATGCTTGAAGACAATGGATTTCCTTTTTCTGGTGATAAAGGAGATGGAGAAGGCTCAGGTACTCAATGCCTTCTTCACCTTAGCCTTTACTGGTAAAATTCGCCTTCAGAAATTCCAGACCCCTAAGACCCCTAAAGCAATTGGACACAAGTTCATGCAACATGAGGAGGTGCATCCCTGATCACTAAGGGAGCTGGACAATGTCGTTGTGAGGCCACTCTCAATTACCTTTGGAAGGTGATGTTGACTGGGAAACGTTCCTGAGGACTGTGAGAAAGGAAACGTCACAGCTGTGTTCAAGAGAAGGAGAAGGAGGATCTGGGGAAATACTGCCTGGTCACCTTCACCTCAGTCCATGGAAGGCTCTGCAGTAAGTCCTCCTGGGAACCATTTCCAAATGTATTAAGAGCAAGAAGGTGATTAGAAACAGTCACCACCGATTTATGAAGGGAAAATCCTGCCTGACCAACCTGATAGCTTTCTTCAGTGAGATGTCTGGGCTGGTAGATGAGGGAAAAGAGTTATTTTTCTTGACTGAAGCAAAGATTTCAACACTTTCTCCCATAATGTCCTCACAGTTAAACTGATGAAGTATTGACTAGGTAAGTGGCTGGTGAGGTGGATTGAAAACTCGCTGAACTTCCAGGCTCAAATGACAGTGGAAGCCAGTCCCTAGTGCAGTACCTCAGGGGTTTCAGCTAGGGCCGATACTGCTTAACAATCATTATTAGTGACCTGGATGGTGCAACAGAGCACACCCTCAGCGAGTTTGCCGATGATCCTCAAAGAGGAGGAGGGGTTGATACACCGGATGATTGTGCTGCCGGTCAGTAGGATGTCAAGAGACTGGAGATCTGGGCTGACAGGTACCTCCTGAATCTGAGCAAAGGGAAATACCAAGTCCTGCCTTTGGGGAGAAAGCAAGCCCACGCACCCACCCAAACAGGCTGGGGCGTGTTTGGCTGGAAAGCAGCTTTTCAGTAAAGGCGTCGGGGATTGTGGTGGACAGCAAATGGAACATGAGCCAGCAGTACTCTGGGGCATTGGAGGTGGTTCCTTTCTACTCAGCCCTGGTAAGAGCACACCTGGAACGCTGTGCCCATCTTTGGGCTCCCCAGTACAACACAGTACTGAAGAAAACCCAGTGAAGGATCACAAAGATGTTGAAAAGGATTGAAGCCTTTATGATACAAGCAGAGACTGATGATTGTTTAGCCTTGAGATGGAAGAGATCGGGGGGAATATTATTGTGTATAAATGTGTGTATAAATATACATATAAAATATATATATATAAATATATATATACATAAATATATAAATATATATGTGTATAAATATGTGCTGGTAGAGAGTAAAGAGGGATGGAGCCAGACTCCTCAGTGGTGCCCAATGAAAGGAGGGGAGGCACAAACTGAAAAACAAGAAATTTAATTTAAACATCAGAAAAAAATCTTTTTCTACTGTGAGTGTGGTCAAATGCTGGTATAGATGCTCAGAGAGGTTGGGGAGTATTCATGCCTGGAGATAATCAAGACCCAACTGCTCAAGGACCTGAGTAACCTGCTGTAGCTGAGTCTTCCTAGACCCCCTGTTTCTTTGATTCTGATTAGGCTGGTTGTAATGACTGCTGTGTCTAGCTCCCAGACCAAAACCAGCATTAAAATGAAGTTAAAGGTGAAGAATGGTAATTACAAGGCTTCTTAAATTAGCAGGCAGAAGTGTTACAAGATAAAAGCTTTGCAATTTGATGTGGTCCAAGTTTAAACTGTATATAAGATAGAAGTATAGCCATCCATCAATTGACTCATTTTCATCTGGGAGTTTATAGCTAAAGACTGGATGTTTTACCATAAGGACATATGTCCTAATGAATTTATTCACATGGTGTGAATTAGATGGAAAAGTCCATGGGCAATGTCGTTGGCTCACACGGTACATGGGAGGAGGTTAAATGAGGTTTTTCTTTTTTTCTGGCTATAAAGTCAGTGGAACTTGCGTCTTGCTGCCTCACAACTGTGCAGTTTCAATTTTGACAAAGAGTCAACACTGAATATCTACAAAGAGTCAATGCCAAATAGACAAAAAATGCCACCAACATAGAAAATTAAAGTTTTAGTCCTGCTCCCCTACAACTGATTTTTGCCTTGCTGCTCTACAGGGAACTGGATCAGAATTAATGTGTTAATGCCATTGCAGCCAATGATGGTATGCACTTGGTGGGTGTCTAGAAGTGAGCACAGTGTTCTGTCTCAAAAGGGATGGAGCAGAAAAAATGGAAGAACATGGAAGTTTAATAAACATGGATAAACATGGGAAAATTACTTCACGAAGAGAGAATACATATTAGGATTTCTTCTTTTAAAGAAGCGATGAGTATGCTGAAAAATACTATAGACTCCTTGGCCCTTAAAAAGATAATTAGACATAGCAGTTAACTTCTAACAGGAAAAATAAACATAATTTATATTGGAATTCTGCAGATCACTTCTACAAGATATCCTTGAACCCAGAAATCTATAATAGTTTTTAAAATGTTTGGACATTTTTTGATCGGATAACAAGAATGTCTACAGTTTATGTAAGTAGGATGCAGTATAATGGTTATCAATATTGGTATTTGAGAACACCTTTAAATGGAGAGAGCAATGAGCATTTTTTCCCTGATCTATCTTCCTGTACTATGGGATTTTCGTCATGTTTTTCTGAGGAACTTGGTGCTGAGCAAAATGGCTTTTATTTTCTCCATTTACCTGGAGAAGTAATTGCCATGTTATAAGTAAATAAAATTAGTACAGATGACAAGAAGTAAGGGAAAAACATCACATTTCTTTCCTAGTTTGCCTACGTCATTGATTGTCTGCCTAGTCAGATTCATAAAAGCACTGTGGGGCAAAACTGAATTCCAGCATTGTTGGCCCAGGAGACTCCTGAAGATTAGTTAGAAGGAATGTGTTTTCCTCTGTACAGCAGAGAAGTCATCAAGTACTCACCTGGCCCAAAACCATGTTACTGCTTGCATCTGTCTGGCCACAGTTTAATAAATGAAAAAGTGTGATCTTCCAAGTCTTCAGTATCAATTTCTGTGCTTGAAAAGCCACAGGCTTCAATATTTCCCTATCAATCTTCCCATGTCACCAAGATTGTACTAGTTGACCACATACTGGTTAAGGGGAGAGGTCTGTGCCTGTCTCACACTGAGGGCTTACCCAGAGGTACCAACTGGGTGGTGTCAGATCTAACCTTTTGCGGGGTCCAGACAAGCCATTGTGCAACCTGTTCTGGAGCAGGTTGCAGGAGAGAGCCCTTGCCAGCCGTCCTGCCGTAACTGTGGCACAGCGCGGCGAGAAAATCACGTGGGGAAAAATATACGAGTGCAAGAAGAACTCTCCAGCTGTGAAAGCACTCACATGGGCATTGGAAGTGCTGTGTTCCAGCTCCTGCTTCAACTTCTTTTTTTGTACTTTATCCAATCATCGTTTTTAATGCAAAATAGCTAAGCATTTGGAAACCTGGCAATACATGGAATGAGATGAAGTATTTCCCTCTAGAAGGCTACGGTTCATGTTTGTGTTTTGAGTAGAAAGAACTGAGAGGAAAAATAAGGGCAGGGTAATTGGGGTTTAAAAGAAGAGCAGGTGAAAGGGTTAAAAAAGGAAACAAAAGTCATTTCAGAGCCTGTGGCAGAAGAAAAGAAGGATGGGCAAAGGAGCATGAAAGCAAAGGGGCAGGAGAGCATGTCACAGCATTAATAATAATTTCTCTTTGAAGAGAGTTCTGACATTCTGTGGAGGTATTTTTGGCATCGGAGTTTTAACAGCTTCCACACTTAAATCTTGCAGTATTTTGAAGTACTCTCCCTTGCTGTATTTTTGAATGTTTGCTTAATTTAGAACAAAGTTGTGATTCTTCCCTAAGATCCGGAATAAAAATATGACTATATATGTCTGTACAGCTTTTTAATATTTGAGAAGTGAATTGCAGAACTTGTAAAAACAGCCTGGTTAGTCGGTCTTGGAGAATGAATTACTTTGCTTTTTTGCAGTTCAAGCAAAGTCAGCTTCTATTGCTAGTCTGTGCCTAAGTCGAATTTCTTTCACAGAGAACACTTTGAGATAGATAAATTTATTAACTTGTTTCTTTTACACATACAGTTCTTGGTCCCCCTGTTAAAACCATCATCAGGGATGCCACTGAGCACCAGAATCTATTCACTATAATTTGCTCAATACACTAATTGAACATGGACCAGTAAAGTCACAAACTTTTTCACTATTCATTATTTCACTATTCATTTGAAAAATGTAAAAACAGATTCCAGAGGTGAAAGGACCTGTACCTTGATTCTTGCCTTGCAAATGTTTCAGACATCCAACTGCATATGCACCTCATTTGCAGGGATAAGCTAGGTTTATGCAAGTCACTTAAAATGAATACAATTATACATTTTACTTCAAAATACCAAATACATTGTCCAGAACTTGAGGCTTTGCTAAATAAGCTTACGTAGAAACCAGTTTTCCCTTCATTCAAGATCTGTCATACTCCTGTCTAAAGCTTAACTCTGCAAGTGAAATGATCAAGTTCCAGCCCTCTATGGGTAAGTGTTCTTACCCCTCTTCTCAGTTCTTCCAACAATGCACAACAAACACATCCTCAGATCCCAAAAGAGCAAAAAGAAATGAAAGCATATGCCTGCCACTCTCTGCCTCGCTTAGTCCATTACTATACCTGTTAATAAATATATCTGCAGTGTCAGTGTTTGCAGTGTACACACAACTTTGCTCTGAAGTACTGATAAAGCCTGTTGTACCACCATACCTGAATACCTTAGAGATTTCAACATAGTCGACCTTACAGCATGCCAGTGAACTTGAAAGGCCTTCCTGTTTTGAAAGTATAGAAGTAGACGGCCTGATTACCTTGACTAAGGTACGTAAGAAATGTGGCAGAGAGTCAACTGGACCTGTCCCTCCTGAATCCCCACATATCAGCCTTTCCAAAAAGTTCCTAAAAGTTGAAAATGGAGACTAGTCCATTGAAATTACAGAAGAAAACCTTTCTTTCCCCAGTCACAGATTCAGTAAAGATATAGGCGTTAGAAATGCATGTATTCACACTCCTTTAACTTTGCATATTCCACTCTCTCCAAAATCTCATGGAGCTTTGTTTTTGCTCTCTGGATCCAGACACAAGACATTATAGATGAGCTTGGTTTAGAATTCACACCCATCCCCTGTGCTTGAAAAGGCAATGGCTTTTTACATCATAAATCACAATTATAAAACAGCAGGAAAAAAATCCAGACCCATGCTAAACAAATTCACCTACCTTAGGTACAAACACAAGACAGAGAGTAATGGTGCTGCAGAATATTATGACTAAAGCAACGATGCAGAACTGCACATTGGGTTGGTCCCGAGTGAGGAATGAAACAGCAGCACCAATAATGCACATTATCCCCACGTTGTATACACTCATTCCGATGTACTTGCTATCATTCAAAGCGGGAATGCTGACATTTCGTGTCTCCCAGGCTAGGAAACACCCAAATAACTGAAATGATAAAAGAAGGAAAAAAAATCATAATTATAAGAGGAATTGCTTGACGTTCGGAAAAGCATTGGTTCAAAACTGGTATGTTTTCTAACTTGACAAATATAGGTGATATCACAACACAGAGATATACACCTACCTTTTACGCAATATCTAATTACCTATGTGTTTTGTTTTGCTCCTTAGGACAGATTTCTGCTTTCATAGGAGAAATGTGAAACTTGGAATTAGTCGTGATGGGAACAGATTTCTCTAAATGTTATGGCTATCTTTATTTAAGATTTTTTGTGATTTTTAAAGACAGTCCTTCCTGTTTGTTTTCAAGGATTCCAGTAAAGATACAATGTATGTTGTTTTTTAGCTATTTTTTAGCAACTCTTCTCAATATATTCTTATCAATCCAGCCATTCATTATATGATTATCACCTACATTAATAAACAGCAGTGCCAAGATGTGTCCCATGGGAGACAAATATACAATGTAGAAAGTGTCCACCTAGCTGTTCAGACTGCAATTATAATGTCTTTTATTATAGTGGGAGTTGGTAATGGCCTTTCAATTGCAGTTGTCTAATTATTTCTGGCATAAAACATTCTTGTGGCAATTTTTTGTTTGCTTTTTTATTCGGTGTATTTTTAAGTTTTAGCCCCTTTTTGATATTTGCAATATGCTTTTGCAATTCAGCAGGGGAAAGTCTTCAGTGTAAGGAAGCCATCTTCATCCCTTGAAATTTAATTAGATTTTTCCACAACATGAACTGCTGCAAAGGATTATTTTCTTTCTCTTGCATTCCTCAGAGAAATTCTGGCAATGCAGTAAAACCATAAATGAATGCAAGACGCTGTAAATAGGTAACCCAGCTTACAGCCTAGGCAAAGCCTGGTAAGAGTGTATGGTGCCCTGGGGAGAATGGCAGACAGCAGATGGTGTTGGAGGGAAAGGGAGGGCAGAGACAGGAACCATCACTGACCCAAGACATGTGTTCTGTATTTTCCAGCTTTTTCTGATCACACTGCAGGGACAGACAAGAAGGAGAAAAAAAAAAAGGTGCACTCCCATTGACCTTGGTACCGTTCCTCCCAGACCACCACATTTGTCCACTGCCATGTCATAGAGATAATCTTCTCTTTGAAACGGCTGCAACCCATGTGGTGATCCAGGAAATTAGAGAGGTCTATGATGATGCTATTTGGGGATTAATTGCTGTTGCCTAATAAAAATTTAACTTCTGTTTTTTTCCTGTGGGAAAAAACATAAAAAATGTCAAAGGCAAATAACCTGGATAGAACACTGTTTGGTTGCCAGTCAAGCAAAAAAGAGTTGGGAACTGACAGATTTATTTTTGCTGTACAAACTCAGTTTTGCCCTTACATGCTTTCAACTGTAGTAACAACTGGACATGAGTAATTGCAAATTTCCTTGATTATTTGCTTAGTTTTTACCTCAGCTAACAACGGCAACAAACACAACCACTTGTGACCCAGCTGCTTTGCACTCCCACAGCAGCGAGCAGGCTGCAGCCACCTCCCTGCTCCCCCAGGTGTTTCAATCCAGGATTTACTTGCCGACCTGCCAGCCCTGCCCTCCCGTTGCTGAGCTTGTCTGCCAGCTTATGGCATTCTCTTGCCTACAGGACATACGTTACTCTGCCACACGTTCATGAGCAGACCCGGCTGGAAGGTTTTGGCGGATTAGGCATCTACGCTCAGCCCATGGAGTGTGGCTGGGTGGAAGTGCTGCCTAGTCCAGGCAAGCCTCTTGCTCACCCACTTTTCAATTCTGCCGTTCCTGCCGCAATGCAAGCCAAGAGGTGTAGGCAGGCTGGCCCTTCCCAGAAACAGCAGCAGCAGTTGCCCTTGCAATCCTTACCAACGTCTTCCTTGGCATCATTCCCAAGCTGCCCGCGCCACACGCTCCTTCAGGACGTGGTCCTTTCCAGGGCACTCCCTTGCCTCTTTGTCACAGGTCTATCTCTTCTGCTTTACCCATCTCCTCTTGTAGGACCAGAGCCCACACCTCATCCCGGTCCCTCTGCCCTTCCCAGCAGCCTAAGAAGGGCGGGAAGAAAAGTTGTGGCTGCTGAAGGAGGAGCATGGGAGGTGGCTGCTCTTGAGGGGTCAAAGTAAATGTAGACAGCTACCTGGAGGAGAGAGGGGTCTCAGCCATTCAGGCGGGGCAGCTGAGGTGCGTAAGCCATTTATCGAGCTGGGTAGCTTTGTGCCATAGAAGCAGCTCATCCCCTAATACATTTTCTAGAGCCCCCCAGGTAACCAGGATGACGCTTCCAATAAAGAAGGATGCAGGCAGCACTCCTCTGCTGTTGGCTCTGGCACTGTGCACAGATGGAGCAGGGAACGTACAGACTCCTTTACAAGCTCTGCAGAAGCAATTCGTCCACTGTATTGACTTGGCTGTGCCGGGGACGTACAGCAGTGATACCTCTATTCAGGATACAGACATATTCCTCCCAGACCTCCACCATCTCAGCGTTGCCTGTTCTGCATTCCCTGCACTCGTGCTGTTGTGCAGCTCAGCTGTGCTGCAAATTTGCCAGCCCCTGAACTGACAAACAGGCTGGTCTGGGCTGAGCTGTTTTGAAGGGTAGAAGGAATCATTGTGTGTGTGTGTCTATATCATGTTTTTAAAAGGATGAGACCCTGCTTAACTATGGAGAAGATTTCTACCGTCTTCTTCTACAATTAAATATTAATGAGATTTTTAGGGTTGTAGGTCATCCCTCACTCTTCCCAACTTCTCCCAGTATGAACAGATTCCCTTCCAAAAGCATTATTCTGGGAATACGGCCAACATAGTTAAATGAGCCTAGCACTTATTACAAATAATGGGCATGAATTTATAGCTGAGGCAGTTATAAAGTGAACTAAAATATCAATTATAATGGAAAAAGATCATTTGAAGAGTGTTGTGGGGGTTATGGTTTGGCCCATCTCATTTATAATTGAGAACAGGATGGAAAACGGTTAAGTATCTTCCAGATGAAAGGAAGATATTTACTTATGTAATAACTAAAGAAAGGGAGAGGCTCTTGCAGCAAGTGGGTTTCCTCAGAACAATGCACTGTACATTTGAGAGCATTGTTGCTAATTTTTATTGGAATTTTGGGTAAAATGCTTGTCTCAGGAAAAGAGCTCTCCTTTCCTAAAAATCACAGCTCATCTTTGAGACTCAAACATGGGTAAAAGCTGAGAGTTTTCCGCAGCCTGGTGCCAGGACAGTGATGATCACAGAGGTGCTTCTTGTTTGCCTGTTACAGGGCTCCATGGGGTTGATATGATTTCTCCTCTGAGATAGAGCCTTCCTGAGGGAACATCACACTTTGCTTTCCCTTCATCTGCCCTTCTCATGTTCCTCCTTCCTGAGGCTCAGCCGATCTGCACAAATGAAAGGTTCACTTTTATGACTGCAAAAATCCTGGAAATTCCTATCATGGCTTGGTTGAAGAATGGGATGCAGACGCTGCTAGTGAAAGGTCCAGATTTCCGTGGTTCCTTGACAAGTTTTGAATATGAAACATGTGAGCTCCAGTTAAAAATACAGACTCAGGTCAGCTGCTCTCTACTCCTGGTACCTAAACTTTAAACATTAATCTTCCTCAGCTATGTACATCACACTTCTCATTATGCACGCTTGAGACTGCTGTGCAATTTAAGGACTATTTGATATTTAAGGCCTGCTGGGATTTGCAATGCAGCTATCTCTCCTGCTCTTGCTCCTGGAGGGCTCAAGCTGGTAGAGGCTTCTCAGAGCATGTCTACTGGCTTGGGCCCCACACAAAATACAGTGTCAGCCATCTTCGTTCAAGACAATGATGCTGGTGATGACTATTGCATAGCTTCAAGTTTGGACAACATGGTACAATTCCAAATTCTGCCTGAGGTGTGCTCCCTAGCCCCAGACTAGAGGCTGTCTTCAGGAGGAGCTCTCAACCTTCTCGCAGAGCTGTCAGATTGTATGTAATGAGAAACCGACTGTCATAATTACTTGGGCACTTGCGTGGGATGTTAGTTCTGATGTTTGCTGAGAATTCTGATTAAACAGTCTTCAGAGAAGGCGTGCATGGACCCATTAGGATGGAGGCAGGCAGCTCTTAGCAGTGCTGGTGTGCTAGATTTGGAAGGGGGTAGGACACATCTGTCCCCACTGTTTTATACCAGCTCACTTAGGCAGCTCCTTGTTGGCAGTTACAATTCCCATCTTGAGGCTCCTGAAGGATCCTGTGCATCACAGAAGGAGTTTGAATAACTCAGGGCTATGCATTCTCCTATAGAAAGCGGTTATCTAAAAGTTAAGGAGCGCAATAGTCTGCTGTCAAGTCTAATGGTCTAATTTAAGTCCCTTTGGGGATCTCAACCTAAGACACATTGAGAATGCAACTAGGAAGGCTTCCTACATTGTTAGTCATTAACTTAAAGCTTTTTCCCATTTTGGTCTACTAACTACACATCTTATTGATGTAGAAAGTGTCATAAAATGTTCTGGGTTTTCTCTGAAGGGATGGGCTGTACAGGCAAGACTGGTTTGTTTCTTCTTTTGCTTGAGGGTAGGCAGCTTCCATTTGACACTACACTGATTTAAGGTATCACCTTTGTAGCAGGCATGGTGGGTTAAGGCTGTGTTGTCAGTGCACCTAAAAAGGCTGTGAGACAACCATTGTCTAAATTTGGGGAAAATAGTATCTGAAAACAATAAGATTATACCACTGTGACTAAAAATAGAATTCTGATCACTAAGAGAAATCAGTATTAAAGTCTTAGAGGGATAACAGGGCTATGAAGAATACAATAGTTGTGTTTACAGAGTTTAACAACCAAACTTCAATTTTTAAAAATCTTGTACTGACTAAATTGTGATAACTGGGAAGATAAAAAAAGTGTTTGTAGCTAAATTACCGGAAAACATCTAACACTTTTTGAAAACTCTACTAGTTAGGTCATTTTAAATCTTGTTCACCAGAATTACTGCTAAACACAGTAACAAT